CTTTCATCTTGTTCGGGATGTCAAACAGGTATGCTGTAAATGTAAAAATCTGACAAATGAGCAATATTAGTTTTCTGGTAATTTCTTATGTTTGACTGTCAATCTTAGGTTTATTAATTAGGTTTTATTGTAAGTAATAAGCTACCTCTACAGACATTCTGTTGTTTCCAGTACTTGCTGTTGTGTGCTTAGTGCCCTGCTGCCAGAAAGATGTTAAACCCAGTGAGTGTTGTCTTTTTCATCTTCCTTGTGATTTGTTTTCCTTCCTGGGGGGACTGAAAGCTGATACTCCCAGCTAGGAGTAATTTTGGATGTTCAAACAACAGACAAAAACCCAGTGCTGGCCCCTCACCCCCAACAGAATGAACATCTACCCTGCTAGGGGAGATCATACAGAAAAGAAGCTAACCTTGGGTTTTTTTTGAAACTGATAAATATTGAGCTGTATAGATGTTTGTGGGATTTTTTGGTTTATTTGGTTTTTTTATCATGAAAAGTTTAATTTGTTTTTTTTTTTATCTAGAGCTGTGATATAATGTGTAGAAACACTCTAAGCAAATTTAAGATTATAATTTAAAAAACTAAAAATACCTTTTGTATTTCTAGGGAAATCTTCCTCCAGGATATAAAATCAACCTGATTGATGTGGGGCTAGTTATTGAATATCTGATGGGAGGAACCTATAGATGCACCTATACAAGAAAACGCTTTAGAGCTATATACAATAGTCTCAGTGGGAACAATCGGGTATGTAGCAGTTGGATTACAAAACATGCTGATTTGTATCTTCTCAATTAAAAAAAACTATGTATTTTGGAGAAAAATTGGATCCATATTGTTTTATTCTTCTTGTCAACCAACTGGATATTTTAAAGGCAATAGTAAGGCCTGTTAGGGCAGCTGGTAACTGTTTTGGGATTGAGGACAAACAAAAGGTTTTGTTCTCCTGCTCTTTATTTTAGCAATCTAAATTCTTCTCTCTTATTCCATCTTTTCCTACTCGTAGGGGAAGAACAGGCACTAAACATGAAGATTCACCAGGGCTTGGGATGCACATATCTCAGCTTCTTGTAAAACAAGTGTAACTGCCTACTTTGTGACTTCTTAAAAAAACCCAAAAACCAAACAAACAAAAAACTTGTTAAATATCCAGTGAAAATTCAGGTTGTTGCTGTTATATAAGTTCATCGCTGTTTCAGTAGCAAAGCAACTGTTTAATTGCTCAACTAAGTATCTAGTTATAAACAGAGGAGTTTATAATGCCTAGTAGGTAAGAGTAAAGAAACCAAACTCCTTCCCCTTATTCTTGTTACAGCGATCTGGGCGAAATCCTTCAAATACTACTCCTCAGATGTGTAAAAGCCATGAGTCTTTTGGTAACAGGGCAGACAAGAAAGAAAAAATGCGCCATAATCACTTCATCAAAACAGCGCAGCCATACAAACCAAAGGTATGGATGTGTGAGGGGAACATGGTGACGTTTATTTTAAGTAGTTAAGAGTGGAGAACCTGTTTCAAATCCAAGTGCCGCTGAAGTGTGAGTAGCAGCAGTTTTACTGACTTTGGTAAAGCTGAAATTTCAGCCTTGCTTTTGTACTTGTTTATAAACTGTCTAGCATGCTTACAGGATTCTGTAAAGCGTGTTTGTCTTTCTGTTTGGCAGTCTTCTGGATAAGCTCTGATGTGTTAGGGAGCAAAAAACTCATCTTTGGCACAATGGTAGCAATGCAGGGGGGACTCACATGGCTTTGTAGAGAGAGCAAGATTTGGCTATGTGTTACCATAAGCAGTCTCCATGGGTTTCCTCCTTTTATATGTGGGTATATTAGTTACTGCTTTTCTTTTGATCTATAAATCAAAGTAATTCAGTCTCCCAGTTATTAAAATGAATTGGACTCAACCGAAGTTTTTGTTCAAAAGTTCCAGCTGCTTTTCAAGTCTGCTTTTTCTGTTTATAATTGTATATAATTTGATATTGGATCACTCAGCATTTTATTTCAAGTTATGTAATGACCAAGTTTAGAGATTTAAAATACAACTTTCTGATTTTATTTTAAAGATTGACACTGGTGCAGAAGAGGGAAAAAAGAAAAGAACCAAAGATGAAATAGTAGACATAGATGATCCTGAAACGAGACGTTTTGCTTATCCTCTCAACGAGCTGTTACTTTGGGCGGTGTTAATGAAGAGGCAGAAGATGGCCCTCTTCTTCTGGCAGCATGGGGAGGAATCCATGGCAAAAGCCTTAGTTGCTTGCAAAGTGTACCGTTCAATGGCATATGAAGCAAAACAAAGTGACCTTGTTGATGATACTTCAGAAGAACTGAAACAGTATTCCAAGTAAATTACATTTATGTTGTTAAAGATCTTTTCTTGATATTGACAATAAAAGTAATGCACTATATATGAACAAAACCTGAACTATTCTATTAGCACTGTTGAAGACAATTCCTTTTGCGAAAAAGATTAAGTGGCACTCTAGTAGAAGTTTTGTATTAGATATTGCTCTCTTTTGAGAGCTGTTAACAAGTCATGATTTCTAGTTAAATTTAAATGACACTGAATTTGGCATTTACTTACTTCCATGTAATTTCTTAGCATGTTCTAACACCTATATGTAGTCTGCATATGTTTTTAATAGAAGTCACAGATTCACACGTTCTAGTTAGATTACTGTACAGAAGGGACAGGTATCTTCCCTTCAGATTGTGCTACTGGGAGTTTGATTGTCCAAGAAAATTCGACCTAAACTCAAGGTCATTTCTATAGATACTAAATTTTGTTCTGTTGGGTTTTCTTCATTCTAGTGAGTTTGGCCAACTGGCAGTTGAACTGTTAGAGCAGTCCTTCCGACAAGATGAAACTATGGCAATGAAATTACTAACCTATGAGCTTAAAAATTGGAGCAACTCAACTTGTCTGAAGCTAGCAGTGTCATCAAGGCTTCGTCCATTTGTAGCACATACTTGTACGCAGATGTTGTTATCGGATATGTGGATGGGAAGGCTGAACATGAGGAAGAACTCATGGTACAAAGTAAGCATTGTTACAGTTTACTGGCATAAAAAGGATCAACGGAATTTATGTTTAAATAGAAGGAAAGCATGTGTTTAAATGTTATTAGTATAAAGCTCTCACAACTATAGCTTCTGTTAATAAATCCTGTAAAAGTCTCCTATAACAATCAAAACAGGAAGTATTTATTGTAAACTCTTCTTTTGACACTCTATTATCTTTTCAAATAAGGTACAGAAATATAGAAGGCAAAAATCAGGCAAGTAGCCTTTAATCAGAGGCTTAAAGAGATCATGTGAATACTAATCCACTACTAAAAACAATTGTGGTAAAAAAACTTTAACAGACAGAAACCCTACTGTAAGAATATAGTTTCATGCATTCTGGCTTTTTACAGGCAGCACATAAGACTTGATGTAGAAAAGCTTTGTGAATATCCTATTTTGCAGGAGGAAACTGAGCAAAAGCAGGGCACAGAATGAAACAAGGGTAGGCAAATCTGGGATAGGTTTTCCAGTGGTGCCCTTCATGATATAGATCAATTAAATGAAAATGGGTGTTGCATGTTTCTTTGAGATGGTGTACCAAAACATAATTGTTGCTAGGAATATAATGAAATAAAACTTTCCTACAAAATATCTACAAGCATCATTTAACTTGTGACCTACTAAAATCCTCTTTGGTAACTCATTAACCATTTTCTTGCTTGCTTTGTAACAGGCTAATGACAATAAATAGCTTTCTCTTACTCTCTTCATCCATACCTTAGCTCATTTTTCTACCATAAGTTGAAAAAAACCTCAAAACCAAACAAAACAACCCGCCCTCCCCACCCCACCCCAAAACCCCCCACCAAAACCACCACCTCCACTTGTATATGCTTTTTAAATACACCTTGACAGTACACAGTTCCAGAGTTTCTGGGAGTGGATTAAAGAATGGAGTGTAAACAGAACATCTCTGGATCTTTGGACTTGGAGTACATTCTTTCTGGTGACTTTTAGTTTTGGAATTTGTTGATACTTCTTCTTTCCTATATCTTTAAGTCAAGGAACACTCTGTATATGTGATCTTAGCCTCTTAAGTGTATATGTAAGTAATACAACTAATTATTTTCTACATTTTTTTTTTCCTCAATAACAAGGTAGTGAGATTTGGATAATACATTTTCTGAAGATATTCTGTGCGTTGTTGTATTCTGATGCTTTAATGTAGCTGTGAACTATTGGCACTTAGTCTTCATCTTTTCCAGGTGATACTGAGTATTTTACTCCCTCCCGCTATACTGCTGTTGGAATACAAGACCAAGGCTGAAATGTCACATATTCCTCAATCTCAGGATGCACATCAAATGGCAATGGATGACAGTGAAAACAACTTTCAGAATGCAGCAGATGACATACCTATGGTAACAGGGAACAGGGGGAGATATTAAGAACAATATTTCTAACTTAAAATAAATAATTGCATTTTTAAATCAAAGCAAGTGTTGAAATGAATGTCCAAAAGCATGTATTTCTGTATGTGAAGTTAACAGTCCTGTTATTTTAGGAGGTGTTTAAAGAAGTAAGGATCTTGGACAGTACTTTAGAAAAGCATGATATGGAGACTCCAGCAAAACCTAAAAGACTTCCAATTACACAGAAATTTTATGCATTTTATCATGCACCAATTGTGAAGTTTTGGTTTAATACGGTGAGTTTTCTTCTGTGTAATGCGTATTTTATTTGGAAATCAGATGCAGATTTTGGGGTTCTTCTCCCAACATGTAGCTCTGTGACTTGAATCAAAGTTTGAGCACTTTTGAAACAAAAACCCCCGTACCTTGCTAAGCTGGAAATGAAAAGTACTTGATTTGGAAAAACTGCATATGCACATGCAGTATTCTGTGGCTTGTTTGGGGTTTTTTTGTTTTGTTTTTTACGTTTGTGATGCTGGCTTTGAGACATAGTACTTTTATTTTTTTAAGCTAAGAGAGTACTTAGCATGAACATTTTTATTCTCGCCTAAGTAATTAATTTCATCAGTTGCTAGCAAGAATGCTATAATCATTTATTAGGCTAAAGTGTTCATGCACAGCTTTGTTTAAATTACTGTAATAGAAACTCTGACATTTGTATTAAGGGAAAAATAGCTGTAATAAGAACAAAGCTTTGCTAAAAATAAATAGCTTATTACAGCTATTTTTCCTCTTCTGAGAAAATGTTTATATCCTCTTATAAATAATAACTTGTCTGCTTAAAGGGGTAAATTTAGTACTGCATTCCTACTTGAAGCTTTTATTTTATACCACATCAAAAGTTTCCATGCACATCTATAAAGAACCCTTCAGTAATTATATGTATAATTTTCATTGCTTTTTTTAGTTGGCATACTTAGGATTCCTCATGCTCTACACATTTGTGGTGCTTGTAAAAATGGAAGAATTACCGTCCGTCCAAGAGTGGATTGTTATTGCTTACATTTTCACATCAGCAATTGAGAAAATTCGTGAGGTATGCCTGTAAAAATCTGAGATTTTAATTTTCTTTGCCAATTAAACCAGTATGCTTTAAACTGTGTTTATGAACAAGACAACCTAAGAAACTTCAAGCATCAGAGTTATATGATGTAATACCTTTGTCTTAAACTTTGGTATAGGCTACTAGTTTAAACAGCAGTGTTTCTTGGCCTACTACTTGGACTTAGCTTGCCTTTCTTCTGTTTTCAATGGGGAAGAGTTGGAGGTCTATTAGAAGGAGATAATTTTTTTTCCTCCTAAATTTCAAGGAACTGGCAGTGACATCCTGGTCTGATTTCTGCCCATGCCTCCCACCCTCCCCTCATTTAAATACCAACACCTCCACCTCCAACTTGATTTTTGTTGTTGTTGAATTTTTTTGTTTGTTTGTTTTGGTATGTATAACTCACTGTCTACAAGTTGTAATGAAATAAAAAACCTTACTTTTCTGAGGGGTGAAATGTGTATTTATTTATTAGTGTCAGTCAAACTCTACCACTATGGAATGACCGAGATGACAAAACAAAAAAAGCTTTATTGAGACAGGATAGCAATGTTGTAGTTGTGATAGCTGGTCAGCAAGAGACTTTTGAGAAATTCTGTAAGAATTTTTAAACGAGAGAGAGAAAGTTAGTTCATTAACCTGGTACCTCAGACCCAACTGAAGAGGCAGAAAGTAGGGCTCATTTTTGTTACAGTAACTGCCTCAAAAGAAAAAAAACAACACCAAAAAAAAACCCCAAACCAAAATTCCTTCATAAGTCATTCAGACAGAGGGAAACGTATGTCGTCTTTGTCCTTGTGAAGCTGACACAGTTAAACACTGGTTTTGATTCCTCAGTGTAAAACAGTTATCCATTTGACTAGATATTTTATTTTTGCAAGTATAAAAATGTTAGTGATTCATGTATTTCAGTGTTGGTCCATGTGCAATAAAAGTGAGCAGAACTGACTTTTATTTTTATTGCAGATTTTTATGTCAGAGGCTGGGAAGATTAATCAGAAGATTAAAGTGTGGTTCAGTGATTACTTCAATATCAGTGACACAGTTGCTATTGTCACTTTCTTCATTGGGTTTGCATTAAGATTTGGAGCAAAGGGGAATTTTGGTGAAAACACTTACAGAGAAAATTATGTCTTTGTTGCTGGAAGAATAACATACTGTCTCAATATAATTTTTTGGTATGTGCGATTACTGGATTTTCTAGCTGTAAATCAACAGGCTGGCCCTTATGTTATGATGATTGGGAAAATGGTAAGTACTACTTCTGTTACTGTTTTTTTTTTTCCCAACTGAAATATGTTATTCTTGCTGCATCCATTTACAGCTTTTCTCAAAGTTTTATTTAGAAAAAGGTTGCTTATCCTGGTGTAATATGTCAGCAGCTTGGTTTGCAGAATTAGCTATCTGGAATATAACTTAATGTGTTTCAAAACAAGCACTGATTAGAAGGCTTCCTTTATTATGGAGCTTTCTCTGTCATGTATCTGTGAAAAGCTGGCAAATCTTCCTTCTCTGGTCTGTTTTGTTCTGAGATGTCAGAGACTTGAATGAATATGATGATGCTTTTTTCTTGATTCATCTAGCATTGCTTCCCTTTTGGGTCTGAGATTTATTTATAGTCTTGGTTTTCTTGCCTTTGTGCTCTCTAGTGCAAGACTTTAACTTGTTTTGTGCCCTAAAGCACTTTGGTGTTTTCCACTATGGGAAACTGGGAATAGATTGTGGCACCGTTCTTGTCTTCTCTCACACAAAACATACTCAAGTTGCTTAAGTTTAAAAATAAATAACTTAGCTTTACTGTCACTGAGCTATTCTAAATGTTAAAAAAATATATTAAGGCTTGACAACTCTATATACGAAGGTGGAAGGGGTGTTTTTCTTCCCCCTATAAAATGGTTCCTACACAGTTGAACTCTGTTATTCCTTAAAAAATGAGCGTATCAAGTTGCTCATTTCTCACTTTAATTTCTTGCAAGAGGCATAGGTTCTGTGTTTCAGCCCTTGGAAGACTACCTCTCTGTTTTGTGCAGCTGTTGAGTGCATTTAGGAAGGAATGTTTCTCAGCTCCTGCTCATCCACGTAATAGGTGTTTGAGTTACAGAGGAAATACTCTCAGTTGCCTTTAGCTGAGGATACTAAAAACTCTGAGAAAGGATAGGAGAAAAAAACAAATGTTTTTTACAGGGTTTGTTACTTAACAAAATTTTCTGACAAAAATATGTGTCCTAGACTCTTTTCCTTATATAATACGTAGAATTCATCAAGCTTACATTGTCACTGTAAAAGTGTTTAAATTGAAATCATAATTATGACCCTGTGGGTTAACTGACGTTTTTGTGTTAATAGGTGGCCAACATGTTTTACATTGTGGTGATTATGGCACTTGTACTACTTAGTTTTGGTGTTCCCAGGAAAGCAATATTGTATCCTGATGAGGCACCGTCTTGGACTCTTGCTAGAGATATTGTGTTTCATCCATACTGGATGATTTTTGGTGAGGTGTATGCCTATGAAATTGATGGTAAGACACTGCAATTTTCATGAAAGTAAGGAGAAAACTTGCTCTAAGATCTTCTCTAGGTCTTACAAAATTCTAATTTTATGAAATGAAATGCCTAGTATTGTTGACATTGATTCCATTTATTGGATTATCTCCTCTTTGTTGGTTGCAGCTGTATAACTTCTTGACTTGACTTTTTCATTATCCTTTATAAAGCTTGAATGGCTTGGAATGAAAACTCTGCTTATCCTAGCAAGATTTTGGAATTTTCCCTCCACAGCGGTCATTCCAAAATTTTGGCTGTGGTGGAGTATTATGCTTTTTTAAAATCCAATAATATGGTTATACCATAGTATTAACCTGAAACTTTATCTCCTGTATTTTTCTACCATGTTCCTAAATGCAGGGAGACATTTTCAATTGCAGAATCAGTGCATGGTAGTTGGTTGTTGCAGTCTCTGTAGTTGATTATTTTTTTTTTTCCCCCCCTATCTGTACCTGCTGGGAGTTCTAAAAGTTGTATGTATTTTCTCTGTATGTTTTTTTTCCCAACATAGTATGTGCAAATAATTCTGATGAAAAAGTTGCTCATCTCTGTGGCCCAGGAACATGGTTGACCCCGTTTCTTCAAGCTGTCTACCTCTTTGTACAGTACATAATTATGGTTAATCTCCTTATTGCATTTTTCAAGTAAGTGTATGAATAATCGCTAATTTTTGCTAATCCTTTGGTTTCTATTTCACTGCAATAAGATGACAAGATAAGAAAAACTGATGCCAGTTCAAAGCAATCCCATTTGCTATTTGCTGGAAGTATTTTCAGATTCTAAGGCTGCTCTTTGTCTTCTCCTTACTGCAAGCCTATGACTAAGTAGGGAAGCGTGTGATGTGACTGGTATGTGTCACATCTATGAGGCCAGGGGAATTGGAAGTTTAAGCGAGTTTGAAAGCATTTTGTAACTTTTCTTTGTCAGAAAACAAACAAAATTGTTTCTTCATCTGTATATTGACTGTTATTTCTAAATTCATTTAACGTTCTCTAGTCGGTTGAGTTGAATTGTAGGAGAGTAAACTGAATTTTGCAGTTCTCTGCAACTGTTTGATTTATGGGAATAAGCACCTCACTAATGCTGAAGAATGGCAGACTGTAGAATTAACATGGTTGGTTATAAAAATCTGGGTATAGTTAGAAATTTTTTTTTTTTGCAAACTTGAAGTTTGATCCCAGTGTTATTCTATTTCTGAGGAAAGGTACTGAGATGTTACCAGATGAGAAAATTTTTTAACCCTCTCCTTGCTTTGGATCATGTTTTTTTGAATGTGTTTCCAACTTCCATGAAAATAATTTTGCAGTAAAAAACAAGTATGTGCTTTTGTCTCTTACTTAACTAGATTCAGAATTCAAAACTGCTATCAAAGTGTTAAAAAAACACAAACAAAACAAACAAAAAAACAAACAAAGCAACAAAACAAAAGAAACCCCGAACAACACCCCCACCCCCTCCCACCCTCCTGCCACCCCAAAAACCACCTTGATGTGTTAATACTTTTCTGTTCCCTTTCAGCAACGTGTATTTACAAGTCAAGGCAATTTCAAACATAGTGTGGAAGTATCAACGCTATCATTTCATTATGGCCTACCATGAAAAACCTGTTCTGCCTCCACCACTTATTATTCTTAGCCACATGGCTTCCCTGTTCTGTTGTATATGTAAAAGAAGAAAGACAGACAAGACTTCAGATGGGCCAAGTATGAACAGTTGTTATGCAAAAAATTGCAGTAGCTTTTTTGATATGATTAAAGCAAACTGTCAGAAAAGTGCTATATTCTTGGTTATAATGTGTATTCTTAAGAAAGTCAAAGTAGATCTTAATTTTCTATATTTTTTTATATTAAGGCTCTAATTCTGTTCGAAGTCCCAGTGTTTTTATGAATGGTATAATGCACAGCTCCTAGAAATCTCCAGTCAAACTAACTTACAACAAAAACAAACAAAAAAAATGAGATCAGATTTACTGTTAGTGTTAATGGGGGGAAGAATTTTTTTTCTTTCTGGAAAACTTCTGTTCTTATTGGAAACCCTTTGAAAATTTAAAAAGGAAAAAAAAAAAGTTCCACAGATGATAAAATCCAGCTAAGGATTCTAGCTTCTGCCTCAAAGAAAAAGGGATTGGAGGGTTTGGAGTGTAAGGAATAATAATATTGTACACAGATCCTCTCAGAATTACTGTTTTGATTTTTATTTTAGTGGAAATTTCTGACCTTGAACTTTTTTCTAGCAAGGAGAGAGGAAGGGTCTTAGGTGTCGCTGTTGTTTTTTGTTGGTTTTGTTTTTTAACATTCTTTGTAAAGTTGTGGCTATTAGTTTCTAGCACCTGTACTGCTTCATGACATATGCATCTTCTTCACTGTTTAATCTCTCTATAGAACTCTTCCTGACAGAAGAAGACCAAAAGAAACTTCATGATTTTGAAGAGCTGTGTGTTGAGATGTATTTCAATGAAAAGGATGATAAGTTTCATTCTGGAAGTGAGGAGAGGATTCGGGTCACATTTGAACGGTAGAATATTTACGAATAAAATTTCTGAATAGAGAAGCTTAGGACTTTTGCAGGTTTCTTAATGTGTTTTAAGGGAGGTAAAATGCAGCTCAAGAACGTAAGTATTTTTGCAAGCTTTAGATGTTGTCTTTCCATTGCTGTGCAGAAAGTAATAATTTGATTGATGCTTCCTGATCTGTAGTAGCACTCAGTAGGCTGAGGCAATGGTATTATTTGGTTTCTCGTGGTATTTTAATAGACTGATTGATAGATTTGAAGAAATGCTGTAGGCCCTCTATTGATCTGTATGTTAATTCTGTGATTCAGAAGTATGTACAAATGTATTACAAAACAGTCCAATACTATAGCATATACATACGGTCTCGAAATTTCAGAGTTTTTTTCCTTATTAATTGGGCAGAAAGGGTTGCAAATATGTTTCTTTTGCACATTGAGAAAAATATCTTTCATAGCTACTTTATAATTTGATTTTTCTTAGGGTGGAACAAATGTGCATTCAGATAAAGGAAGTTGGTGATCGTGTCAACTACATAAAACGGTCATTACAGTCTTTAGATTCACAGATTGGCCACCTACAGGATCTCTCTGCTCTAACTGTGGATACTCTGAAAACACTGACTGCACAGAAAGCTTCAGAAGCTAGCAAGGTTCATAATGAAATCACACGGGAATTGAGCATTTCAAAACATTTGGCACAAAACCTCATTGAGGATGGCTCTCTCAGATCTTCTGTGTGGAAAAAGCACAGCATTGGAAATGTCTTCGGTTCTTTTCCACAAGGAGGCCTTGAAAGTAATAATGCTTTACTCTGTAACATTTCTATACGTGATGAAAAAGAAGTCCAATATAAGACAATTGGTCAGGAGTTAGCTCCGGTTCCCCGAAGAGAAGAAATAAACTTCGAAGAGGCAGGTTCCTCAGGCAGTGCCTTATTTTCAAATGCTGTTTCCCCTCCAGAACTTCGCCAACGAATACAGGCTGCAGAGATCTCAAAATCCATTAGTAAAAGTAAAAAATTAGGGAATTCATCCAACAGCATGCCACACGTAACGTCCCCAACAGCCAAATTTTTTGTTAGCACTCCATCTCGGCCCAGTTGCAAAAGTCAGCTGGATTCTTCAGCAAAGCATGAAGAGACTGTTTTCTCTAAGGCTACAGAAGGAGATAATAATGTAGAATTTGGTGCATTTGTGGGTAAGTATAACAAAGTAGATTCTGAATGTCCTGAAGTCGTTATTAGCTGCTCTTATCCTCTTGCTTCTGGCTCTGCTTGCCTTGCTTTCGCCCAACCTTATGTTGAAAATGGAGGATACGTTAATTGTGGTTTTATTCATGATGAGAGTGACACTAATGATAACTACAGCTGCAGAGTTGACAAATGTGATCACCAGTCCTCTGTCAACTTATCGAAGAGCAAACCCCAAACGAAGTTCTCTTTGTCAACTGGCGACTTGACGTCAACAGTCAACTTTGGCGGCTCACATGGAAAATTGAATATTAAAGATGAACTTTCCAAAAGTCAGCATGCCCATGCAATGGAACTACAAAACCAAGATTTATGTTCTAACATCCTTATGGGACTACTTCATAAACTGTGGACCAAATCTAAGCCACAAGGTTTGACTTATCAAGAATTGTATAGTATTTTGGGTGTATTCCGGTTGCAGGTGACTTTATTCTTCCATTTTGCTTTGCTTTTTTTTTGCTTTTAACATCTCTAATTTCCCTATGTTGCTTTAATTTTGTTTTACTTAAATTATCATTTCTTTATAATTCTGTCACATAGACAATATTTTTCTGAAAAACATTAGCCAGTTGTTGAGTATAGCAATTTTGTGCAATTAGCAGCTCTACAACTTGGTTACAGGCATTGTAGACAAACTTTTTGTGACTTATTTTAAAGCTCCTACCTTCTCATTGCATAAATAAAAAATATTGTCTATTTCTTGACGTAATTACAGAAGACTTCCTAGGCTGGTGGAATCCTGGACCAATATCTTTGTGGTATCTGTGTCAAGCTGAGGGATCCTCCTATACTATGTTTCTAAACACTGTTATAACTGGGATCTTCCACTGTTGCCTATGCTAACATATCTTTTGGCAGTTGTTTTGGAAGCTTCCAAAGAAAGTCCATTTATTAAATGCAGCACTATGCCTCCCCTCAAGTTTTACTTAACAGTAACAAGTGCGTGGTTTTGGTTAGAGTTACATACATATTTGAATGGTAAAACAGTGGCAGATTCATTGCAAAACACAGGTGTGGGTTTACTAACTGATTTCTGTAAAGTAGATAATGCTTTAAGTACACTTAGTGTGTAGCAGAAGATCACAATCTGGAATTGCCAGGCTGCCTCCAGAGGTGCTGTCTTGCCCCAGTTGTTCAGGGATGTCTTGGTGTTTTCCAAAGGTTTGTTGAGGATGTAAAAATTTAAATATTTAGACAAGATTTTATTCTACTGCTGTGAAACTTGGAGTTCTAAGAAGTTACCTACATGCACTAGCATTTTTAGATTTGTGTGTGTGTAGGAAGAGTATCTACACATTTGTACACTCACTAGGTATTTGTTTATAATTTTCTCCTGGTTTAAAAGAAGAAAACTTTTTTAAATTCAGAAAGCAAGACTAAACAGAAATAATGGACAGTGGTTGTGTAACTCTAATCTTCAAATCTGTTTCACCACTAATAACTTTGAATACTAACTATACTTATATTACTGGAGCCAAATTTTTAGTGTACGGTTCTCTGACATCTCTGGCATTTAGAACATACTCTTCATTCTTACTGTCCACGTTTTATAAGACTTGTGTGATACAGTGCAGCTTTCCATCGTGAAGCCAAGTAGATTTTTATCCATTATAAAGACACATGCTTGGTAAAATTCTGAAAAATATTTCTTGCAACTGGGAGGATGAAGGGTATATTGTAAAAGCTACCTCAAGAAAACTGTCTGCTTTTCCTTCATTTGTCACACATATATAAAAATACTGTAATTCAGATGGCCCTGTTGCTTTCATGTGAGGAGCATATGCTTGAGTAAAATTTTAAAATGTTTTACTTTCTGAATTGTGGTAATCCATGCCTTAATGCAGGAAAAGCAGTAGTTTAATATTAATGTTTTGTTACACTGATTTTTACTTCAGGGTGTTTGGAAAGTCTTCTCCAGTGCAAACAGGCACAGAGAACTTAGATGGTTTGTAATCCTTTGCTATGGTGATGCAAACTATTGGCATGGTCAGAACATTGGAGGTTGCTGTTGATTTTGAATACTCTTTTTGAATTCACTGTGTCAAAGGTCACAGAGACAGCATGGAGTTACAGCGGTTTAAAGAAGCAGCATGCAAAATTAAAGAAAGAAGCGCTGATATTGAGGTAAGCATGGAAGACTTTGTCAAACGTGTTAACAGGGCAAAATTTTTTTTTTAACTGTAACTTCACAGTACGTTTTCAAAAAGTCTAAGAGCAAATATAATCGAAGAACTTGCAAAATGCATCCTGGAAGGAATGTGTATCTGTGTTGTGATTTGTAAAAAAAACCAAAACCAAACCAAACCAAACCAAAACCCCAAAAACAAAAACCAAAAATGTAGTGAAAACTCATGCAACTGTAACTACACAGGTACTGTTGCTTCATAATATGATACTAATGAAATATTAAACAAGATCTGAAGTTGTGAAAGCTGAGATGACTACAACTGTGAATTAAGATAAAATTATGTATCCCATAATTAGTGTTTAATGAAGCTTTTGACACTCATGAATTTGAAGATCAGCATTGAGGAAGATTTCAGTGATTTACATGATATTTTATAGAGCAAGATGATAGTGTATATGATTTTAAAAAGTGACAAAATTCTTCATTATGCTTCCAAGAAGAAAAGGTCTTCCTAATAAACTTGTCATAAATTAAAATGATGTATAATTTCCATTTTCTTAAAGAATAATAAAAATAACTAAACGGAAGGTGATTAATCATAACAAACCTGTCCTCCAAGTGTTATAGTATATATAAAAAAGCTAGTTTTCTCACTGTAGCTGTTAAGATAAGTTAGTAAATACAAGTTACCATTTGCAGTTACCCCTCATTTAGGGGAGAATCTGACTTGGGAATTGCGTTATGACCATTTGCAATGTCAGTGTTCTGCAGAGTTGCTCCTTCTGGACCTTCTGATAAGTATAACGTGTGACCAAAAAGCTTTGTGTGTGTAGTTTTGGCATGGGTTTTTTGGTAATAATGTTTACAATTTGCTTTGTTTTTTTGATAGGAGCAACAGGAAGACTTCAAAAAAGCTATATTGGAGGGTATAGAGACAACCAGACTTCAAGTAAGTAAGGAAAGTTTCCTTTATTAGAGACATTATTTTCACCAGATACCGAATGTATTCTTTACAGTGAAGACAGAGAACTGTTTTCTTACATCATTATCTGTAAGTAAACTCTGGTCATGATTTAAAAAAGGCGGGGGGAAGCTGTACAGTTGAACCTCTGTACAAATACAGCTGGATGTCTCCCTGACGTAGGTCTAAATAGTTCCAGTGTTTGGGATACAAACTCCAGTAGCATTTCCAGACAGTACTGCTGTTCTTGGACGCTTAGTAATAGAGTTGTCCCATCTTAACTGGTGGGACTGGTTCAATTCTTAACCTTTCATGTAGGCACTTCAGTCACCGATTGTAAGATGCTGAAGATGTATGCTGAACACTGAAATGCATATACACCTAAAAATGGGTCTTCAGAAGACACTTTCAGCGGTGCATTGTCTGTGTTGCATTCCAGTGAAGTATTTATGTTTAGGGATGTAAAGAAATAGTCTCTCTCATACATAGATATATATATAGAGAGAGAGATATTATATATTTATATTTTATATATAGAGAGATAGAGATATATATATACACACACACATATGCACATTTTGGACACACATACATACACAGAGGTGTGTGTGTATGTGTTTGGGGGGGATGTGGGGTGTGTGTATTCCTTAAGAGGGAAGGGTGGAAAAGGGTGGTGACAATTTCCTAACTGTTGTAAATCTTGGAATCAAAAGCAGGGCATAGCATTCCAAGTTCTAGTTTTTTATTCTTCAGAGTCATGAATCTGTATGTTTTATTCAGGTAACCATTGGAATTAATAGGCTGGTTGTGAGGAATGTTACAGCCCTGTGCCAGTCTACACGTAGTTCAAGTTTGTGATGAAACTGCCTTTCTCCTTTTTTGCAAAAGAAATACTTTGTTGTCAAAAGCTGACCACTTCAGTAGATATTTGGAAAGTATGTGATTATTATTAAGGAATACATCCATGAGAAATTCCGTTCATAAACTCTAAGTTTTTATGTGGCAAGACTTCTCTAGATTTTGTTCCTATTTTGAGTGGGTTCAAACTGAACTGTAGTTTCCACCAGAGCCACATTCTTAAATGAGAATTGATAGTTAATAAAGGCATGTGACAGGATAGCCAAACTTGGCGCCTGTAGAGATGCAGTATAATGTACATTTCTGTAGTTGTATCCTATTGTAATGTTCTCTTTAAAAGAACTTTCAGTGTTAGTCAGTAATATTAATATGTACCTGAAAATGTTAAGAGCTAATGGTTACTGTGAAGAGCATTTTAACTGAATTATGCACTCAACTTGTACGTTTTTGCGCAGCAAGGTATTTGAAGGACATCCAGAAGTTTAAAAAAAAAAAAAAAAAAATCCTAGATAGTCCTAGAAAAGAAAACTGGGCAGATTCTGTGCCAAAAGAGTCGTAGTTGAAAACAATGATAATGATGACTAATGATATGTGTATTTCTTTCCTTAGGGTCTTCAAACTGACTGTGGTCTAAGACAATCTAGTTCTTGCGGTGGGTTTACTGACCCTCTGGCAGTCCATTCAGAACAACGTAAGTGGGTCATATTTTCAGGTGACCTAATTTTATCTCTAAATTGTGTTCACAATGCGTATTCTAAGAAGATACAAAGGAAACATTAAAAGTTAAAGCATCTTGAAGTGTTTTCATGGTTGATGCTGCTTTAATCTGCTCCTGTGGTGCTACTTGAATCTGCTCCTGTGTCTCACTGTAGTTCTTCTAGTGATGCCAGCTTACTTCTGTTACCTTGTCCTTGCCACAGATAGCTAGAGGCATAAAAAACTAAGTGATCTAGTCAAGATTCTGCTGGAAACTTGTAAAGATCAAATAGTTGTGGATTAGGCTTTTTTTTTTTTGAGAGCGAGCCACATTAAGCTGTCTAGTTGCTCACTCTGTTAGGAAATAGGTAAATAACAGTGACACATGCCATTCTGTGTCCAGTTACAAATCTCTTTCATTTGTAGTATACAGCAAGAGTAGAAGAGCATCGAGCGAAGACACTCAGCAAGTAGACTCTAAAGCAGCCTTACTCACGGTTTGTATCCGCCTCTTTTGTTGTTGTTAAGCAGAACTAGAAACTGAACAAACAAAGGAGAAGCAACAGATTAATACCGATTTGTGGACTCATTTGTTGAAGGAGGCAATAGAAGGGGAGGTGTTTTGACTGAGGGAAGAAGTTGTGCATGTTCTCTACTACATATTGTGGATATTCTCTTTATGAAAACATATGCTGCTTCCCGTTCATGGAAAAAACACAACTTTTTGTTTAAGAAAATAATTATTTATATAATCCATATAACAGTAGTGAATATATAGCCTTATCTATTCTTTTAATTGTAGTTACCATTCCTCAGTTGTTTGAGTCTTTCCATTCAACTGCAGTTCAGTACAGCCTGGTGAAGTATTTCCAATAAACAGGCTGTACTGCAAGATCTTGAAACACATTACCACCCCAGCTCCGATTAAATATACTATGTTTTCCTTACAAAACTGAAATCTTCTTTTTTTTTCCTCTCCTTTGTTTTAAAGGATTGGTTACAAGGTAGACCTTCAAATAGCAGTCAAATGTAAGTAAACTTTCTACTAAAGAGCAATTTTATTACTCCGTATTTTGATTTGTTTTTCTTCTTGGTTGTTGTCTTTGGCTATAGTGGTATTCAGTTGCATTGAATGAAAAAAACAACGTTTAAGGGTTTTTTTTTTTCTAATAAATAACTGAATGTGTTCACTGGAATGCTTTGACAGGTTCTATTTAGATTAATGGGGTCACATGTCAGAGGGCAAAACATGCCTTTAAATGAAAATGACTGTGTTGACACTTATAAGGAGCTAGCTTCCTGGTAAAGGTCTTTACCCAACCTTTCAAACTGTAAACCTTCTCTGAAATTATGCAGACATTGCTCTTGTTAGCAATTATCCCCTGAGTTAACTGTTAAATCCATTACCTTATTAATCTGATAACAGAAGGGTAAGCTGTTGTGAACAAGTTTTAATTAAAGCACCTCTGTGGGAATGAGCTCTTGTGATGCAAACTTTACATGATGTTGTGCGTGACTTGGTGGTATTTAAAGTGTAGCTCTAAAAACATGAGGTTACTCAACAGCCTTCTATTACTGTTTTGTAATTAAGAAACCTCTGCTGCCCTTGAAAAATAGGATAAAAGCAGTACTGTGAGGTTAACAAGGTGACCCAGCATGATGTGTCAAAATCAGTGAATACAAAGTAAGTTTTTAAGAAGCAATGACTGTTGGTTTTGTGACATTTCACAGGCCATCTGAAGAAGATGCATTGAATGGTAAGTTTGTTTCTGTTATAAATAAGCTGGGCTCTTTTCATATAAGCAACTGTTTGGGTCTTGTATGAGAATATATTTAACTACTCATAGAATCACTGAACTGTCGGGGTTGGAAGGGACCTCTGGAGATCACATAGTCCAGCCCCTCTGCCAAAGTAGGTTCATTTATAGCAAGTTGCACAGGATCACATCCAGGCGGGTTTTGAATATCTCCAGAGAAGGAGACTCCACAACCTCTCTGGGCAGCCTGTGCCAGTGCTCTGCCACCCTCAAAGTACAGAAGTTCTTCCTCATGCTCAGGTGGAACTTCCTGAGTTTCAGTTTGTGCCCGTTGCCCCTTAACCTGTTGCCAGGCACCACTGACAAGAGTCTGGCTCCACCCTCTTGACATCCACCCTTAAGGTATTTAATAAGC